TTTGGCTGATCCTCTGGGGCACAGGGGGTGACTCTTGGGGCTGGGCCTGTGCAGGGCTGAGGGTTGGACTCCCTGATCCTTGGGGGTCCCTTCCAGCTCAGATATTCTGTGGTAACCAAAGGAGCATTTCCTGGTGGGAAACACAAGCCCTGAACCTGTCTGACCGTGTCCTCCCTCCTGTCCCCTGCAGTGCACGCCCAGAAGCAGAACAGACAGACCTGCGTGCGGAAGAGCCTTATCTGCGCCTTCGCCATGGCCTTCATCATCAGCGTCATGCTGATCGCGGCCAACCAGATCCTGAGGAGCGGGATGGAGTAGCCCCTGGCCATGCCACTGTGACCCAAGCTGCCCATGCATGTGCATGCCCACCTGGGGGACCTCCCCCTGGCCCGACTCCACACGGCAAAGAGACACAGGCAGGCAAAGCACCACTCGAGCGGGAGCCCGAGGCCAGCGGCGTAAACGTGTCTTGTGAATCAACCACATCCTTTTTGGCAGGGACATCAAAGGGCTGTCTTAATGCTTTAAAGGTTTTGTTTCCTAATGCAATAAAAAAACACACACACCCCCCACCACCCCCCATATAGAGGAGTCCCAAATTATTGCTTCAAAACAGCGATGGTGACTCGGAAGGGACTTGGATCCAGCAGCCTGTGTGGCAGTTTTGAGGAGGCACAGCCTCAGGACTTACTGCAGTGGGGCTGTCCTTGAACCAGGGGCCCACTGACTATCCCACTGGGCCCACATTCCCAGGAAGTTGATCGTAGCATTGCCACAAGCAAGTCCCATTTGTTTGATTTCACCTCCTCCAGCTCCATTTTCTTTTCCCTTATGACCATGCCATGGAGTTCACGGCATCAGAGGGGAGCCAGAGCATCTTGTACAGTATTTTCTGAGGAAAAAAAAAAAGGAGAATTCGCCAGCATCACACAAAATGTCTATTTTTTGCTTCCTAAACACAAGACTGGAGGTAGTAGGAGTCTGTTTGCCATTTATTCCCGACTGTGAATCAGGGCTTGAGAAGCACCACCCGTTTTTCACACATGGGCATTGGTGAGACTTGTGCACAGTCTTCCAACCGACTCTGCAACCACCAGCACAGCTCCAACTCCCTCTATCTGGTCCTGTCTGCATATTCAACAACATTTCCTCCCCAGCAGTTCTGCCTTTCTTCGATATTAGCCTTCAAGAACCTTATTCAAGATGAAAATCCCGAGGGAAGCTCTTTCTGGGCTTTCCTTCCCTCTCCTCGCCTGGGCAATTTTTATTTCTTTCATTTCACACGCCCTGGTTGGAATCTGCAGTGAAAGCTCCGTGTCAGACATCCTGTGGGAGAGGTTCCATTTCCCCTCACGCTGCAGAGTGTGGGTTTGACCATCCAGCTGCTCTGGTGCCTCCCAGGAGCCGTCCCAGCACCACCACCTCCGTCCCTTGGGCAGGTTCCAAAGAGGACAAGAGGAAAAGGAGAAGAAGGATCCAAACCAGAGCCCACCACCATGTGTTCCGAGGTGTGTCAGACTTTCAGATCCTGTGAGTGTTTGTCAGCTCCCCTGGAGGAGATTTTAATGAGCAGCAAGGAGAAGATGGAGCGATGCAGACTGGAGGCACGAGCACTGGGCGAGCCTGGAGCCCGGATTACAGCAGTGAGGATTTTTCCTTTTCAGCTCGACACAAATCCTTGCATTTGCCTTTGGATGAACTGGGTGTCACACCGGGACACATCCGATTCCTCGCCCCAGTGGAAGAGGTTTCCCAGCTGGTGCTCATGGAGCGCTCCCAGGGAGGTCCATGGAGTTGGAGCTGAGTTGTTGTTCCGGCTGAGAAAGCTCCAGAGCTCCAAGGAACAGTGAGATCTTGCTCCTGTAAATGTAGGTGACTGTTTCCTGTGCCACAGGAGGGGCAGGATGGTTCCCCAGGGGATTGCAAACCACCAGCTTCCCCCATCCTACACAGCAGCCATTGACTTAAACCTGGATCCATCCCAAAGACTCATTGCAGGTCGTTCTTTGGTGACAAGTTTGATTGATAACATTTAACCTGTATTTTCAGTAGCCTAATTTAAAAATCTGTTTCTTGTTGGTCTGTGTCCCATCAGCCCTTTTGAACTCAAGTCAACCACCTCATCCCTGTCATTTCCCTGGTGTCCCCCTCCATCCCAAGGACAACAACCCCCTTTTCCAGAGCAGCTGAGGTTTTCATTCTGCCTTTCCCAAAAGCCCAACTTCTGCATTTCTGTTCTGCTGCGAGTAATTGAGGTGAACTGCAAAATATTCCCTAAAAAACTGGTTCTGTCTCCCAGAAGATGGCGAGGTTTGTGTTTGCTGGAGGGCAGCAGCAGACTTCAAACCAGCAGCAGAATATCTTAGGGCAGCTCTGGCGTGGGATCTGCAGCGTTGGGGGGCCAAGGGACACTGGCTGAGCTGGACAGTGCAGATAATGAGCTTTGAGATCATCTGAAGGCAATTGTCATCACATTTTGAGGTCTCAGGGGTCTGTGGAGAGGTGGCAACAGTGAAAAAAACCCTCTAAATATTACTTGTCAGTGAGTAATCCTTATTTTTTTCTCCTGGGGCTGTGCTGGAGGGAACATGGAGAGGTGGGGGTGGCTGGAGAGGTGGGCACTGACCCACTTCCCCCCTCAGCAATGGCAGAAACACAGGGCCTCTTTGCTGAGCCCGCAAACACAACCTAAACCACAGACCAGACATCTCCACCCCCTTCTCCCAGTGAACACCCAGCAGACTCCCACCATTGCATCTCCCTTAGGATGAGGTGACTGTCTGCATCCCTCCAAGCTTTCTGGAAGGCTCCATGATTTCCTCGTGCATGCTCCATAGAAACCATTGTAAATACAGCCATTCTTCACCCTGAAGCTCCATTTGTAAAACCAAACCTAGAACTAATACCTTGGTAAAAGCCATAGCCTGGTGTCAGTAGAGTTCATTGCACAACTCCCCACTGATTTCACTGGGTACAGGATTTTGGGGGGGGGGGGGGGGGGAGGGGTTTGGGGGCGATTTTTCTGTAGGGAAACTAATTTATCTGTTAGGAATCAGTGTCATGTCTTGCCAGAGGTCTTCTTTTCCTTCCTAGATCAGCCTTTCATCTACGGGCATCTTGAAGAGATCCCTTCTTGAGTCAGTGAGGCTCCACTGGCAATTCAGGGTGGATCAGGCGAAGCTCTTTCATCCTTTCCTCTCCCCAAAACCTTCTCATCCTTCCTAACCAGCAGCACTGGACCTCTGTCTCCTCCCAACCTCCCTGCCTCCATTTATGTAACATCCATTTATCTTTTTTTTTTTTTCTTCTTCTTCTACATGAGAGAGGGGGGGGAAAAAAAGGGCTTTTTGCTGCTTTTACAGACAGTAGGTAAAAACAGAGCGGTAAAATTTTGATTGGAACCTGATGGCAAAAGCTTAGGGGGAAGAAAGTGGAAGAATCAAAGACATAAAAATAAAAAACCCCACATCCCATACTTGAAGAAAAAAAAAAAAACCTATTTAAGCGCTAATTAACATACTTTAAAAAATACCCAGACTGCAGCGAGGCAGAGCTGTCAGAAAAAGCACTAAACTTCTGCTCTCGCCTGTTACGGGAGAATTTAAGTGTCTTTTCAGCACTGCAATTCTGGAGGAAAAGGAGATTGCCATGGCAACCGCGGCTGTTCGTGACATGTGAGCACCGTGTCGGAGCGACAGAGCTGTCCCGGCCCTGCTCCGCCGAGCAGGGATGGACAAACAGCTCCCAGAAACCTGGGACACGCGTTTTGCTCCTGGATTAGGGAATCCTCAGGAAATCGTGACCAGCTCTGCAGCTTCTCCCGAGGGGCAGCTCCGATCCCTGCTCTGTGTGAGCAGCGACAGGACCTGAGGGAGGGGCTGGAGCTCTGCCAGGGCAGTTTTGGGCACCAAAACAAAAGGAAGATCTGAAGCCATTAGAGAGTGTCCAAAGGAGGGAACGAGGGTGGGGAAGGGCCTTGATTTGAAGCCGTGGGAGGGCACTGAGGGCACTTGAGGAGACTGAGGGGAGACCTCAGTGCAGTTCCACCTTCCTGGGCAGGGGCAGAGGAGGGGCAGGGACTGAGCTCT